AGTCTGGAATGGTCAAGCTCACCAAAGAGCCGCAATATGCAAAGGCACCATTCCCAATGTGCGTCACCGAGTCTGGGATGGTCACTTTGGCCACTTGCTTGCATTGTTCAAACGCCCCAGCTGAGACTGTCGTCTCGCCGCTTGGGATTTCAGCAATAACATGCAGTTCCCAGTCCATTTCCCTGCAGCTCGCAATATCATCTTTGTTGGAGCATCTGAGGATGTTTGGCTTGAAGACAACGCTTACAACAGTATTTGCAGCAATCCCTGCATCTGCCAGCGTCTCATCATTCCCCAGCAACCTGTCTCCAACAATAATCTCCACCACGGTAGTACTGCGAGTCACTTCGTCCGGAAACTGCTCAGCTCTGATTTGCTGCTTTAGCTCTCGACCTGTCATCTCTGGCGTGACTTCAAAGTGAATCATGTCACCATTGACTTGCAAAGCTGAAAGTCTCATGGCCATGGCTGAAGACTTGTCCGATTTTGTGCCGTGTCTCCTATTAGGCGTCCCTTTCTCATTAACTTTTTCGACAAGAAAGAATCCATATATTAAGGAAAAGCACATATATGTATATATATACCTGGACCCTCCAAAGTACCTTAGAAAATGGGACATGACCCTAGAAAAGCAGGTACGATTGTACTCATTTTCCGAGGTACTTTGAGACTCCAGGTATATATGTTGTGGAAGTGGAGATCCTTACGTTCGACTGAAGAAGAAAAGAAACACATGTTCCCCACCCATTTCCTGTCACAAACCTGAAAAGGGAGATATCCCGGACAATCTGTGTAGGGGCTTTCTTAAGGTGGGCTTCAAGGTTGAAGTCTTCGGGTGGTAATCTTGAAGAGGGCTGGTTCAACTTGTGCGAGTTCAGTTCTGGCCGAAAAGGTTTGACTGGGAGCTAGACTCCACGGAAGACACGTTCAGGGGCTGAATTCCAGGCAGTCCAAGTGGGGTCAGTCACTCTTCTATCCTACCTCTTAAGAGATCTAGGCCGTCTAGACTCTAGACCCTTGCAAAATGGACATCTTGGCATTTTGTGTGAATCATACTTTGACCAGACTGTGTCGATAGCTAAAGCCAGGCTGCAACAGTCTGGTACACGATCGAAGCACACTTGTAAAACCGAAAAGATGGCTTAATGAAGACTCTCTCATTTTCTTCGAAGTTTCAGACCTTTCTCAAGCATCTTGAGACGAGCTTCGAACTTAATGTGTCGTTTTGCGGCGTTGATCCACAGAAACTTCGATCCACTTCGACTCCCTTTCACCCATGGGGAGGCCGCTAAAATGCCATCTCACCTGACGCACCTGACGCACCGCCAGCCGATCCCCGGGTCGGACGGACCGCGTCGCACGTGGAACGGGCAACGGTCGACTGCCGAACCATTGGGGTGGTTGACCTGGGTGAAGCTCGGACCTCCCTATATGCCAGTCCGTTCTGCCGCCCAGAGTCTGACCCCCAGGTCAACCACCCCTGGCCGTGAAACTCGGCAGTCCGTCCTGGGAGTCCCATGTGCTGGTTGCGTGGGTCGATCGAAGTGATTCACTCGGACATGGTAGTCGTTCTTAAAGCGAGGACACGCAAGACATGGGTGCCAAACTGCTGAAGATCACCCAAGAAAGGATGAAAAAATTATCCCGGTAGGAGACCCCAAACAGTGTGTGTGTGTGAGGTCTGTAAGCAGAAAGTCTAGATAGAGATCTAGACGCATTGGGGTTCAGAGAGGTGATGGTGGTGATGAAGTGAAGGTGGGGTTTGAGAGTGAGAGTGAGTGAGAGTGGGAGTGGGAGAGTGAGTGTGGGTGTGAGTGTGAGTGTGAGTGAGTGTGAGTGTGTGAAAGTGGGAGAGTGAGAGTGGGAGACTGAGTGAGTGTGAGTGTGAGTGAGAATGAATGTGAGTGAGAATGAATGTGAGTGAGAGTGAGTGAGTGAGTGAGTGAGACTGAGTGAGTGACTGAGTGAGTGACTGAGTGAGTGAGTGAGAGTGCGTGTGAGTGTGAGTGTGAGTGAGTGTGGGTGAGAGTGAGGGTGAGTGTGAGTGAGAGTGCGAGAGTGAGTGAGTGTGAGTGCGAGTGTGAGTGGGAGTGAGAGTGAGTGTGGGTGAGGGTGAGTGTGGGTGAGTGAGTGTGCGTGTGAATGTGAGTGCGAGTGTGAGTGAGAGCGAGTGCGAGCCTGCGAGTGGGAGAGTGAGTGGGTGTCAGTGTGAGGAGTGTGAGTGCGAGTGTGAGTGTGAGCACTTCGAAGTTCATGAAGTGCTGCGCCTGCCACGAAATCTGCACTTCGAGGTTCACCATGCGCTGTGCCTGCCACGAAATCTGCACTTCGAGGTTCACCATGCGCTGTGCCTGCCACGAAATCTGCACTCTGAGGCTCACCAAGTGCTGCACCTGCCACGAAATCTGCACTTCGAGGTTCACCAAGCGCTGTGCCTGCCACGAAATCTGCACTTCCAGGTCCACCAAATGCTGCGCCTG